TGTACCCACCTAGTACAATTCATCGCTTCTCTCAGGAATTCTTTGTCACATGAGGTAACAACTTAAACTAAATGCTCTTATTGTTTATGTTAGTATAGTGTGAATCATAACCAGGGAGTATATGAAACATTAAAGTGTTACTTACCAACCCTAGAGAGTATATGCTCTACATACACCTGTATTTTTCTTTGATCTGTTGCTTCAGAATATTAATGCTACATATGCTACTGCAACATTAGATCCATTATCTGTGGTCATCGAAACAAAATCTGGTCACATTAAGATTCCAGTTTTTCAGAGTATCTGGCGGTTTTGGGTAAAATATCGAAGCAGTATGATATGGTAAATATCAAATAGGTATCACATGACCTACTTGTCCACAAATCAGTTGTACTGGAGAACTTTAAGTAACATTTGCTGGACTTACCGTAGGCTAGGTTATATTCACGTCTGCTAATATTTGCGGAGATAAAATGTAATCAAGAAGTTAAATTAAATACCATGGAAACCATTTTATTTTTGCTATGACAATTGACCACGTGTTTATGCAACTACAGTGTTTTTAGCAGCTAATCATCTATTCTTGAGCAGCTTGAGTGGAGCCATCCAGACTCCAGTTCTCCATCTGTTATCTTCTTGTATAGATGGACCACTACCTTCAAGCTCTTCGCTACAAAATTAGTGTTGGTCAGTCGTCATGATTATAAACCACACTCAAGTCAATAAACACTAACTAGAATAGGTGGAGAGTCCCAACGAACGGCGAGACAGTCTCAGTAGAGTATTTCTGAAAAGAGCTGGCTAAAGCAGCTCCATAAAATGCAAGGAATAGTAAGGACAAGAAGAATGACAACTGAAGAACACTGCAGCCTGATGTTGTGCTTCAATACAGTGCCTTTTTTAATTAAAATAGCATCTAGTTGCTATGGCCATTGCTGGTCACGGGAAAAAATTGCAAATATTAGCAGCCACAAATATAACTCGACCTACGGTAGTTGTCTCTTCCATTAGAATACAGTGGTGAAATTTTATGCTCTCTAAATTTTGGTATCTCATACTTAAAGGAAAAGAGACATTCAAATGACGGTCTTTATTTTATGGTTTTAATGTGATTGCCTGACTATAATGTGTTCCAACTTCCATAGTCTAAAACACTATTCACAGAAATATGGGCCTTCAAAATGCCCATTTTTCCTTTTTGCTAGTGAAGGGTGGTATCTGTTCCAAAGTATCTGGTTCCACTGTTCCTGTGCTTCATTTGCTAGTACTGAATCTGAACCAAGGTTTTGGTTCTGGAAGCCACACCCAATAAACATATTTTGATCATTATAACTGTTAATAATTATTAATAACCAGGTAATTACTATTCATAAACATTGAGTAATTAATTAGAAATGGCTACGTGTAGGCTAGATGCTACGTGTACTTGGAACCGTACTCAGTACCATCGATATTTTTAGTTGATGTACTTGGTATCCAACTGAAATGAAGAAATCTGGTACGGCCCGTCACTACTTCTTGCAATGTTACTTCCTGTTGGTTGATGTGGCTTAATGTGTCATCATATTAGGAATGTTTGCCCATTCCTGTATAGGAGAAAATGATCCTTTATTGTCTTGCCTTATAATATAATAGCACTTATTTAAAGATCAGGATCATTAGCTTTTATTGTTCTTGCTTGAGACCAAAAAAAAACAGTCATAATGCCACAATAGGTAAATCTTCTTCTTTGCTTATTTCGAGTCTTTTCTTGGATTTACATGCTTACAGAGGCATATCTAGGCTAAGAAAACTAGTTGGTCTCATTAATATTCAAAGTTATAATTAACTAGTAAATGTAATTAACTTTATTTTACTACAATAATGTAATTTTGGAGTTATTATGAATTTGTGCAAATTTTACTACTAAGTCTGGCAGCCTATCCCACAAACGGACTGAAAGATCATTCTGTATATGTAGCAGAGCAACGTCATCTAAACGAGTTTGGCTAATTTGGAATGAAGACAATTTAGGATTATTTCTAAGGCAGAGAAACTATGCTCTACTGTGGCTGTACTTGTTCCAAATGTCATAGCAATGATGATGGCCTTTTTAACTGTCAGAAATGCTGTTTCAACTGGTAGCAAGACCTCAATAAGATTACAGCGATTACTAGTATCTCTACAAAATGACAACTTCTTTAAGTAGCTTTTGAAAGTTAGAACTTGCTCCTATAAGCCATCTAACAGTACTTGGTACCATTTCAGAAGCTTTTTCAACAAATTTGTCTCCAGAAAGTGTTGAGAATGAAGATTAAGTGAATCAATACACTTCATTAGATTCAAATTGACATTACTAAATTGTGTTTTTATCTCTTTGACTATGTTATCAAGATTTGGGTAGTACAGTTCATTCTTCAATTTCTCAGAAGAAAAATCTGATGTTAAATGTGAGGTACCTATTGCCTCAGTAATAAGAGAGTTGGAAAAATATGAAGGAAGTTGCCTTTTTCTTTGACTTCGACATTGAGG